TCTATTCTATTCTATTCTATTCTATTCTATTCTATTCTATTCTATTCTATTCTATCCTATCCTATCCTATCCTATCCTATCCTATCCTATCCTATCCTATCCTATCCTATCCTTGTTCCTGTTTCTGTTCTGTTCTGTTCTATATCAGGGGCTCTGACCATACAATAGCTACGCCACGTTTGTGATGTGTGACACCATCTCAGCCACAACGGAGCTCATTTCAAGGAAGTCTATGGGGAGATAGAAGCTGAAGAGAAGAGACTGGATCTGATACTTGAAGGTGTGAAGGACTGTAGCCATAATGAATAGACATATTCATTTAGGGAAACAATCTGTTCCCTCAGAGCCTTTGGTCCAGCTCTTCCAAGCTTATCAATTCATTGTCAAACTGCAATTTTGCAAAGTGACAAAAAGGGGTAGAATCTTAAATTCGTGGGAAATCATACAAATTGCACGTAACACATTTTTAGTCGTGTCAAATTAAGTTTACACCTTTGTGCTATTCGAGTTTTGGAACATGCGGTTCAGGGAGTTGTTTTGGAGACTCCAAAGAGAGAGCTAGGAGGGGTTCATGCCAGTTGGCATTTACCTTTCGTATGTTTGAGTAGAACCTAAACCTCACCATGCCCCACACAGCACTTATTTCCAGCAAGCATGCTAAGCATTGCAGCTGGAGAAGTGGATGACCTTAGCATTTCAGCTGGAGAAACAGAAGAGCCCTGGATGGTTTGATCCTGGGCTTCCTGGGAACATCTGGCCAGCTGCGACAAAAAAGTTGTAAAACGGGCCAAAACTCACTTAACAAACGTTTCACTTAGCAGCAAAGGTTTTGGGCTCAATTGTGGTCGTAAGTCAAGGACTACCTGTACCTCCATGGTTTCATTCACAACTGTTGCAGGTTCCCCAGTGTCAATTTTGTGACCTTCTGGCAAGCAAAGTCAATGGGGAAGCCAGGTTCACAACTGTGACAACTGCAGTGATCCACTTAACTATTGTGGCAAGAAAGATCATAAATGGACAAAACATCACTGAACAACCAACTGACTTAGCAACAGAAATTTGGGTTCAATAGTGGTCCTAAGTCAAGGACTACCTGGATTCCAGCCTGTGAAACTAGTCAATATTCTAGTATCAAGAAGCACAGCCCAGAATTGCTTTCTGGGAGATGCATGAATGAATTAATTTTCTTTGTTGTGTAACCTGACCTGCATAGCAAGTCCTGGCCATCCATCAAGTACGATGTAAAAAGCAGGTAACTCTGAAATTCTGTGTACATAATAGTAGGAAAAGACGCTAAGAGAGCTGCATTCTTTTACCCTGCGCTGAAGGGCAAAAATGGATGAAATATTTTGTTTCGACTCTTTTTCCTCCCACCCTATCCCCCCCCCCCATTTATTTCTGTATCCACAAAATTAAACATGTATATTTTGGGAATAGAAGGAATGTCAGACCTTCTTAAAAGTACTTCCCAAAGGAAAGCTTGACGGGTGGCAAGTTGGCAAACAGCAAGGCATGGGAACCATGGCCGAAAGAAAAAGAAATTACTGCTAAAAATATTACAAATAATTAGAAGGAAGAGAGCAACCAGGGAAACAGCCGGATTGCTAGTCGACAAAAGGTTTGCTAAAAAAGGGAAGGACTGCAGGGAAGTTTCCTGAAATTTTTGTTTTGGAAAGATATACGTGCCAGGGATGGTTTTCTTGGGAAAATAATCTGAAGGATTAAGTGAAGCAGAAGTGACCAGTGATGGAATGCAAGAACACATTGACAGACTGGATTTTGATGAAACCCATTAAAGGATTCTTGGATTATTTTAAAATCTAAAATCACTGACCATCAAGAAGAAATAGCAATAGCGCTTAGACTTGTATACTGCTTCATAGTGCTTTACAGCCCTCTCTAAGCGGTTTCCAGAGCCAGCACATTGCACCCAACAATCTGGGTCCTCATTTTACTGACCTCAGATGGATGGAAGGCTGAGTCAACCTTGAGCTGGTCAGAATCAAACTGCTGGCACTGGGCAGAGTTAGCCTGCAATACTGCATTCTAACCACGACTCTAGAAATAGGCAATTCTGATTAAAATTAGCTTTCCCTGAATGCATTGAAAAGTTCCTGACATAATGCTCAGTTTTAAAAAGGCAGCCAGATCATTGTTGGCTTATTATTCTACCACCCGAGAGATGACTGGACTTAATTTTATAACCGTTTTTACTACAGTTGTAGTAAAAACATGGTTGTTCAATGAATCCATTCTCCCACATGGGTGCTTTTTGCTGGAAGCCAGCAAAAAACATTGCAAATCGCAGTCACATGATCACACAATGCTGCAACCAGCCTTAAATACAAGCCAATTGCCAAGCATCTGAAATGCAATCATGTCACTGGAGGATGTATGTGTGTTCAGGAGCTGATATGGAAGAAAGAGTTCAAGGCATAACATGTTGTCTCTGTAAAGCTTAATACATCTTAAAATTTCTCAGCCCCTAATTCTAAATAAAAACAGAACAAAAAAACATACTAGGATAAAAAGAGGTATTGGTGGACTGTATGTGACAGTAAGAATCTTGGTGGTGCAGTGGTTAGAATTCAGTACTGCAGGCTAACTCACTGCTCACTGCCAGGAGTTCGATCCTGACCGGTTCAAGGTTGCCTCAGCCTTCCATCCTTCTGAGGTTGGTAAAACGAGGAACCAGATTGTTAGGGGCAATATGCTGATTTTGTAAACCACTTAGAGAAGGCGGTAAAGCACTGTGAAGTGGTATATAAGCCTAAGTGCTATTGTTATTTTAAATGCTGTAGCAGCTAGGAAAGGCTGAGTAATGTATGTTCTCTGCTTTAAGAACAGGGACAAGAGTTTTGCACAATGCTATTGTTACACGGATGACAATCTCTCACTCAGCCTGCCGGATCTAAAGCATGACTCCATGTTTCTCAAACTTTAAGATGCGTGGACTTCAAGTCCAAGAATTCTCCTGCCAGCCAAGAATTTCCCTACTAGAATTCTGAGAACTGATGTCCATGTATCTTAAAGCTGCTAAGGTTGGGAAACACTGTCTTAGATAATCAGAAGGGATGCTTGCACCCACCACAAGCACTAGGAAGCTTTCTGGAGCTTACATTTCACCTATATTTTGGAAACCACATCAGAAAAGAGAAACACCCTCCCAGGTCCTCTAAGCAAGTCACGCAAACACTCACTAGTTCATATCTCAGGGAAGGCAAGAAATAGAAATGAGGTTCAGTTCTGTGTAGCTTTTCAAGATCAACCAAAATCAAGTGCTGCCACCTACCTGCCTAAAATCTCCTTTAATTATTAGTTACTCCGTGGATCCATCCATGGCAACAATATTGGGCCTGACTCCACTTACATGTTTCCACCACGATTAGCTTGAAGCTGTCACCAAAGGATTTTTATACAAGTAGTCCTTGGCTTACAACCATAACAGAGCCAGCCTGCACTTCACAGTTGTAAGTCATGAGGGTCGTAAAACCGATTGATCAGGGGACTGACTCCTTCAATCTCACCCAATTTTGCAAACTTTTTTGCAGAGGTTATTAAGCAAATGTGGCAGTTGTAAAACGACCATCGCAGTTGTTAAGTAAACACCACGGTCATTAAGTGAACTAATGGCTTGCAATGGACATAGTTTTAGCCAAAAAACCAGAGCACCCAGTTTGGTCACATGATCGCGAGGGGGAGATAACCAGCATAACTAGCCCCAACTCTAATTGACTAGTCATATGCCAAGAGCAACTTGTAAACTAAGTGCCTTTCTAAATTAAGTTTCAGGAATGCATGTTCTCTGTCCAATACCACTTTTTATTCTTGTAAGACCATACTTGTATTATGGGAAAGAAACCATGGAAAGCTGTGTAGCATGTGCCCCAGCTCACATACCTCAACAAATCTAACCTAACCTGTCTTCAGAAAGACCAAACCGAAAGGAAAGTGCAATTATTCAAAATAATCAATAAAGAAACATCTCTCTCCCCAGAATAAATTCACCAAAGCCAATTATCCAAATGTGATTGGTAGCTAGTTGCAAAAATGTGCTCTTGTGTATGAAAGGTCAGCCTATTGTTAGCATTTTTGCTGATTAGCTGAACGCTTCATTTCTTTCCACAAAGGCTCCGGCGGTATAGGATTTGGCTAAGTTCCCTCCTAATTGAAAGAAACATTTCCATAACCAGTCAGCGAAACTGTGACAGGTTTTTAATTGGAAATTCTATTTTCCATATTCATGTTTTTAACACCGGGGTGGGCAACAGGGGCAACTTGACGATCTGTAGACTTCAACTCCCAGAGTTCCTGAGCCTGCATGGTTGGCTAAGGAATTTGGGGAGTTGAAGTCCCCAGACTGTAAAGTCATCATAGTTGCCCGTCCTTGTTTTAACATGTCAATTTGAAGCAGTTCCAAAATGATGGGGAATAAAAGCCCAAACATAACTCAAATTCAAAAAGGGAAAGCCGACTGATTCAAATGCCTCCAACATCTGGGACTCTTCTTACCTGCAATAATTTGTGCTCCAACGTTGCCAGTTCCAGATACTGAGCGTCCTCACGTGAAACTCTGTCTAAACGATCCCGAATTTCTTTCAATTTCAGCTGCTGAGTCTCCCATGTGTCACGGGTTTCTCGTACAATTCCTCGAGCAAACATAAACTGTTTTTCAGCCTGGAAGACATTAGCAAAATGGGAAAGTTGACTGTTTGCTTATCTGAGAGCCTAAATAGGACACAACCGAACTGCAAAAATTCAGATTGCCACTGGATGGCAACAAAGAGTAAAGACTGTTTTGAATCTTTCCGCCCATCTAGTGGTCGGGTTGAGTTTGTAGCTCAGATCCACAGCCTTGGCCGAATCCACCAGAATGGGGTGGATACTAGCTTACTTCAACTAGCATATTTTGGCCGTGTTCATGTGAATTCTGGCAACGACAATGCCAATTCTTGCCATTTCAAGGCACCGGACTGAGATAAACAACCTTATGTTAATAATAGTAGATATGCTGCATAAAGGATGATATGCAAATGATCAGAGAAATATACACTGCTCAAAAAAATAAAGGGAACACTTGACTTCCAGTGACGAGATATGGGCGAACGGAGGTGCTGAAGCTCGCTTTGGGTTTCATGCTATCTCCTCTTGCTGTTGGAGTGACCCTTAGGAGTGCACGCATCTTGTAGAGAAGTGTGCCAGTGTGGGGAGACTCAAGTCGTGGCATGGAAAAGGCGATTCTCATCGCGACGTAGAGAAACCCTGTAGAGACCGACAACAAGAGACTGTCAGCAATGGAGGTCCTAAAGCCTTGATCGTTGCATACAAGGGGAAGTGAGTGAGTGACAGACTGTGGTGAAGGAAGAGTGCGAGTGAAAGAATTTGTGATCCTGATTGAGCGTTGAATATTGGAGTATCTTAGTTGGAGCGAAGCCTGAAAACAGCAGCTAAAGCAGATTCGAGCGGCAGCGAAAGCGAAAGGGCTCGTGAGACGGAAGTGGGTAAGGACGCGAGTGATCGGACAGAGAAGATAAGAGAATCGGAGGGATCTGAGAGACTGATAATAATTGGGGGAGAGAAAAAAAGAAGAAAGAAAGAACAATAATTTAATTTTAGGGAACTTTGAAGGATTTGAATTGTGGACTTCGGGGAAAATTGGAAGGACGAACTTGAGATGGGGGGAGACTTGAAGTAAGGAATTAAACTACAATTTTAAATATTCCATGAATGAAATTGAATAATTTATTAGCCTCCCTTTGGATTACTGGACTGGAGCTGTAGTAAGTGGAGAAGATTTATTAAAGAAAGAGACTATTTGAATCTAAAAATTGACTTGTTAAACTTTCAAACGAAAGGAGAAACGACTACAGCGGAAAGTGTGGTGAGATAGTGAAATCAGAAACCAGAGACATTACTCAGCAACTCTGTACTTCTGGTGCGCTCGGTGAAGGAATTAAGACACTTTAAGCATTTAAATTTGCGGATTGTAACAATTATTTCTTGACACCAACTTAACTGATTTTTGAATGTGGTAAATGTAATTTATATATATTTAATTGATACATTAGTAATATTGTAGTTTATATTTGGTTATAACACACATAAAAAGGGAGGTGATAATTAATCAATTATTTAAGTATAGATATTTGATTATAGGCATTGAGTAGATTGAATTAAATAATTAATTGTGATTAATTGTGATTATTATAGATTAACTAATTAATTATTGTATAGTAAGGTTGATATATCTATATTTAGATTTGTAAATATTTGAAATATTATTTTATAACACTATTTTGAGATTTGGGATTCTATAGTATTTATATACAGGTTAATATTATTTAAATTTAAATAATTTGATATATTATTAAGAATTACAAATCCAGATATTTGATTTAGAAATTAGCTGTAAAAGTGTTCTGGAAAATATACATATATTGATAAGAGAGGTTAATCCTGTAACATATCATATTATTTAGCGTAGTGGCCATTTATAGTTGATATTTCTTAATAGTGAATGTTAATTTGGGACAACATATTTAATATAATACAAAACAAAAACAAATTTTACAAGAAATTACTTCTGTCACTAATACAACACTTAAAACTGGAAAGAAGACTTCTTCAATACAAACAACTTCAATGCCATCAACCTCAGTGATGGCACAAAAGACAATTGAAGAAACTTTATCTGGAGAAAAACAACCTATCATCACGAATGCCAATATTCAATCGACCCTTCTTACTTTACAAGAGTCCATGCTGAAGCTTCAGGAAATAGTGGTAAAAAATCATATTGAATCAAGAGCTGACACAAATGAACTAAAAGAAGAGATGGGAAACTTAAAGGCAGAAATGAAATTAGACATTCTAAAGCTGGATCAAAAAATTGAAACAATACAGCAAGCACTAGAAAGGAATGAATCAACAATAAAGGAGGTTGAGAAAGAACGGAAAAAACAGAAAAGAAGCTGGAAATGGTTGGTCAGCAATTAAGAAATGTGAGTAAAGAAATGGACGACTCCTTGGTATATTTGGAAATGGATAAGGCCGCAGCATATCTAAGATTCCAAAATATAATGGAATCTAAAGAAGAGGACTTAGAACAAGTGATGGCAGGAATATTAGCAGACCTATTGGAAAAAGATAAGGATGATATTCTGAAAGAGTTAGACGAAGTATACAGAGTGAGCACAAATTATGCAAGACGACACAAACATCCAAAAGAGGTCCATGTGAGATTTGCCAGAAGGAAAGTTCGAAATATTATATATAAAATTTCTAGAGAAGAAACAATTATATACAAAGGGAAAGAAATCTTGGTGCTTAAACAAATCCCAAGAAGAGTGAGAGAGCAGAGGCGAGATTATAAATTCTTGGTGAACCAATTAAACCAAAAAGGTATCATATTTAGATGGCTAATCCCAGAGGGAATGCTAATCACTTGGGAAGAAAGAAAAATTAAAGTAGACTCCGTGGAAAAAGCCCAAGATTTCTACAAACGATTGATAGGCCATGAAGAATCGAGTAGTAGAGACGAGTTAGAAATGAATTCGCAAGACGACCAAGACTACCAAAAAATAGAGATGGGAATTGTAGGAATTCAAAAAATAAACAACATCAAGAGAGAGAAGAACTGAAGACGCACAATCAGCCACAAAGAAAGACAGGAGTAACTACAAGACAAAGAGGAAGAGTCAATTAGGTGATGGATGAAGAAAAAAAAATACTATCAATTAACATAAATGGCCTAAACTCTAGAATAAAAAGGAAAAGAATATTAACCAAATTAATTAAACAAAATGCAGATATGTTTACAAGAAACTCATATAAGGAAGGAAGAAGAAAAATATTTAGAATGCCCCAAGCTAGGGAATTTGTATATGTCGCCAGCAGATTTTAGGAAAAAGAAAGGGATAGCAGTATATGTGAAAGACGATATGAAAGCAGAGCCAATTTGGATAGACCCCAATGGAAGAATTCTGTTACAAATTTGGATTAAATCAATTCTAATTCTACTAGTGGTAATCTATGCCCCTAACGATAACCAAAATGAATTTTTTAAACAATTACATGAGAAATTAGTGGAATTAGATAAAAGGAATATTTGTATCTTGGGAGATTTCAATGCTATTGTGGACCACCAGAAAGATCATAATAGTGGGGGGGAAAAGAAGAAGAAAAAAAGAGAACTAGCAAAAACATGTGAAGAAATGATGATTGAACTAAATTTGATAGACATGTGGAGGAAATTAAACCCTGAGAAAAAGCAATTTACATTTTACTCCAACCCTCACCAATCATGGACACGAATTGATATGGTGTGGATGAATGGTGAATTAGTAAATGAATTAAAAGAGATTGAAATCTTACCAAACGAATGGGCAGATCATAACCCGATCCAGATAGTGTGGAAAGGCAGGAAGAAACCAAGGGAAAGGTGGACCTTAAATACACAGTTAATTAAAGAGAAAGAATTTATGAATAAACTTGACGAGGAATTAGACTATTTTTTAAAAGAAAATAATAATGAGGCAACTATGAAACAGAATATTTGGGATACATTGAAGGCAGTAATAAGAGGCATAACGATATCATACACTTCTAAAAGAAATAAAAAAAATATGCCCAACAAAAATAAATAAATAAATTAGAACAAAGAATCAAAGAATTAGAAATTCAGCTGCAAAACACCCCAAAAGATTGCAAATTGAAAAAACAGATGATAATAACTAAACAGAAATTTAATTTAATCGAACAAGAAGGAATGGTCTCAAAGTTAAATACAGCCAGACAGATATTTTTTGAACAGGCCAATAAACCAGGAAGGTGGTTGGCCTATAAACTTAAAAAACAAAAACAAAAAAGATTCATCTACCAATTAATAGATGAGAACGGGGATGCCCAACAAGGGAAAAAAGAAATTGCATGTAAATTTTTTGAAGATCTTTATAAAAAGAAGGAGGTAAATGAGGATATAATAAGAAACTATTTGGGTATTACTAAAGATAAAATAATTAAGGAGGAGATGAAGGATATGTTAATTAGAGATATTACGTGGCCCGAGTTAAAAGCAGCAATAGAAAACCAAAAGAACAATAAAACCCCAGCACCCGATGGGATACCAGGGGAACTTTATAAAAAAAATAGGAGAACAAATAAGACTTCTTATGGTGGAAGATATAATGAGGTCCTACTAGCAGCAAGAATGCCGGATTCGTGGAAGGAGACATTGATATCGTTGATTCCGAAAGAAGATTCAGATTCACGACATATACAAAACTATAGACCAATTTCCCTGTTAAATACTGATTATAAAATATTTACTACAATTATAGCAAATAGATTGAAAAAAATATTGAATGAATATATACATAAAGATCAAAATGGATTTCTTCCTAATAGACAAATCAGGAATAATTTAAGGATAGTATTAAATGTTTTGGAATACTACAAAGCCCACCCGGAAAAACAAATAGCCCTTGTATTCTTGGATGCACAGAAGAAGGCCTTTTACAATTTAAATTGGCAATTCCTAATTCAATAAATTTACAATATGAATCTAGGCACTAAGTTTGAAAACATTGTGACTACAATTTATGATTCACAAAAGGCGAATATAATTAATGGAGAGTACACGCACTCAATAAAAATAGAGAAAGGAGTCAGGCAGGGAT